ACTCACAGACAGAGAAGGACACATGGACACGGAGACAAGGGCACAGCAGGCGCGCACGCTCCCGCACCACACATTTGCATGCGCACACCCTTAGCCAAGCGCTGGGTCTCAGCCATCCCATCGCCCTCCCGCTCCTTCCAGCCCCCGTGTCTGCTCCTCCGCCACATTAGGGACCGCATACACATTGTGAAGCCCTAGTCTGGACGCACTGCAGACTCCCCCCCATCCAGAGCTGGAAGGAGAAAGAGAGGTCATCTGGTGTCCACCCTACAGCCTGGACCTAAATCCATCCGGCCAGGGGAAGTGGGTGTTCAGTACCCCGAGACACTAACACCGCTCTCCCACACCCTAAATGCGGGTGCAGACTTTAAGACAGCGGCGAGGCCCCAGAGCCCGGGCAGATCAGAGCCCCACACAGTTGCGGGGAGTCACACTCATGCACCCGCGCAACCGAACACATGCAGCCACACGCGTGCAACCCCACAAGGTCAGGCGGAGACGCGAAGGGCCGGCCCACGCTCCCGCGGGCCCGAGCACACAAAGCCACGCCAACATGCGCCACAGACCCCCGCCGACCCAGAGGTCCCCGAAGGCAGCCACACAGCCACAAGGACAGTCCGGGCCATCGGGGTCCAGCGGCCCCGCAGAGCCGGGTCGCGTGGGGGTCTGGAGCCCCCGCCCCCAATGTCACTGGACCCACAGCGTCGCACACTCGCACCCGGCACCTACCCCCATCTTGGCGGTTCCGTGGGGAGAAGGGCGGGTGGGCGGGCGGCGGCCTCAGGGTGGGCTCAGGCGCGGGCTCGGGCTGGGGCCTCTGCAGCGCCAGCGCCTCGGTCGGAGCCGGAGCGAGCGTCCGTCGGTCCGTCAGTCCCACCGCACAGAGGCTGCGGTGCCCGACGCCTCCGCCTCCTCATATGCCCGCGCCCGTAGTGGGGGGTGGCGCCGGCCAATCAGGGGCGCCGCTGCGCTGATGGACGGCCCGCGGCCCGGCCCCCAGTACTGCAGCTGTCCTCCCTCCCTCACCACCCTGTCTCCGCAAAGTGGCGGCGCCACCGAGAGGGAGGAGCGCTGCAGGGAGAAGGGGGGTGTCTGGGGATCCCGGAGACCCCCCGCAGCGCAGAGTCTGGAGACCCCCTGGGGCCTCTGAGGAGGGGGCACTTAAAAAGGAAGTACCCCGGAAATCCCCTCACTGTGGAGTACTGCAGAGAGGCACTTGGTGAGGGGAGTGGACACGCGGTGGGGGAAAGCCCCAGTGAACCGCCGCAATGAGGCAGGGGCCCACAGCACCCCCATCTGCAGTGTGGCGGGTGGGGGAGGGGCCTGGAGTCTCTGCGGAGCGCTGCTCAGGAAAAGAGCCCTGCAGAGGGCCCAGCTCCACAGCCCGCATCTCAGCCCACCCTTGGGGGAAATTGGGGCGCACAAGAGAGCAAGAAAGACCCCTAAACTGAGGAGGGGTGATGTAGAGAGGGAGGAACCCCGAGGCCCCCCTCACTGTGTGTCCCCCCCCTCCAAGGTGGAGCTAGCCAATGAGATACAACCACACAGCACACAGGAGACATATCCAGGCCCAGGAAATGCCCAGCACCACAGTTATGCATCACCGCAGCCTTACACACACCACACAGAATCACAATCGCGTTCCATCGCACATCAGCCTGTACCCTCACGTACACCCCGCCTATCACACAATCAGGGGCTTGCAAGCCCAGGAAGCACAGGTAGAGCACGCACTTTACACATCCACCACATCCCAACAGAATCACAGTCACAGTCATAAACTACCGTGGAGGTCCACACACCTTCGGACCACTACATTGCAGACTTGCACATCACACTCTCCAGCACACCTGACCTTGCACCGTCTCGCAGAGACCACACTGTGCAACCCTTGAATCAGTATACAGCTTCCCTCAGCACTATCACATATGCATAGGCCTCACGCTGCTTCCAGACACCCCGCAAGAGCTCTTGTGGACATTACCGTGTGATCACACAGCATCACATACTCCGTCGCTGCACACACTGCTCCCTAGTGTATCTGAGCATAAGCAAAGGTCACACTGCAAAACTGCTACATCAAAAAACAAAAACAAGAACAAAAACTGCTAAATCGTTGCTGTGAATGACAGACAAAAAGGTGCACACACTCACAGCACAATAATTCAGAGAAACAAGTCACACGACGCCATCCCACACACCTCTCACGTATCACATATTTCAGCACTATCGTGTACACCTTTGTTGCACTTCCAAACACACACCGGCACCCCCACCCACATGCCACACTCTCATCACGGAAGTGTATGCACACACAGTCACACAGCTGGCACCCACAACCCAGGCCTGCACACATATATGACACCCAAATACCCATCAGCCACCCTACTGGAGCCTGAGGAGGCAGAGTTCCCATCACTGCTCCATCATCACCCAATTTACAGCCTCATGGAGAGCACCCCAGATTTCCCTGGGGATGGTAGAATATGGGGTGGGGGAATGCCTGACTTGTGGCTTTCTTAGAATGGGGTATCCTTCCCACATATGGGAGTAGAGGTATGAGGGACACAAGCAAGGGACAGGGAATGAGCTTGGTGTGTTTGTGTATGTGTGTGTGTGTGGGGGGTAAAAACTCAGGACCCGATCAGGGACATATGTAAAAGGTTGGAGGCCAGCTTGAGAGGCACGGAGATGGAGAGACAGTCAGAGCTAGAGAGATGGCCCTGGACGGGCACAGAGACAGTCCAGAAGGAGGCAGGGAGGTTCCCCCAGCACATAAAGCTTTATCCCAATTCTGTTCTCTGACCTGTCCTCATCCCTCCCGCGGTCCCTTGTTGCCATGGTAACAGGGAGGCTGACTCTGTAGCAGAGGAGGCTGGGTCTGCAGGCCAGGCTGTTGCCATGGAGACTAGGGAAGGAGGAGGAGCCACATCTCCTAACTCAGGTACATCACCTCCAGACACCCCCTCCCCAACTCTGGCCCCTTCTCCAGGAAGGCAGCTTGTCAGCATGCATCCCTTCCCTCTCCTGACACCTCCGGAGGTCTGGGCCTAGACCATGGAGGATGGGACTGGGCAGACAGAGGAGCCCGAGGAGGTGGGCAAATCTGGGCCCCAGGAGATGTAGGCTCTCTTTCTGCTCTCCGGCTGGGCTAGGGGAGGTCTGGGCCCTCACGCCCCACCCCAGACACAGGCTTAGGCCCCCTCACGTACTCCCTGCTAAGACGGGAGCCTGGCGAGACTGATGACTGTGCATCGCACTCCGGCACAAGGCTCTGCGGAAGGAGGGGGAGGGAAGACTTAGGAAGGTCACAGGGATGGAGGGGGATGCGGGAGCTCGGCCTGAGGCGTGGAAGGAGAGACAGAAGAGGAGAAACACAGGCCAAGGCCAGAGAGAGACTGAAAGAGAGAGCGAGAGCGCAAAGGCAGAGATGAGAAAACAGGCAGACAGCAAGAAGTACTGGTGAAGGTGACAGAAAGACACTACGACTTAGAAAGCCAGGCAAAGACGGGCTTGGCAAAATGGGGAGACTGGGGATAAAAACGGAGACTTCGAGGGGGCTGGGGATGTAGCTCAGCGGCACAGCGCCTACCCGGCAAGCGCAAGGTCGTGAGTTCGATCCCCGGTACAGGAAAAGAAAAAAAAAAAGAAAAAAAGAGAGACTTGGAGCAGAAACTCGGTAGGGGAAGACGGCTCGGATAGGGGGAGACACTAAAGATCAGCCTGACGGCGTCAGGACAAACAGGGGAGACCCCGCAAACGTCTGCAGTCGTGTTCTAGTCACCTCAACAGAGCCCAGCCACGGGCAGAGACATTGTTTAGTCTCCAAGAGACGTGGAGACCACAGAGATGCTGGCATTGTCCCTGAAGGACACACACACACGGCAAGGGCCCGAGCAGGGGCAAGGTGGGGACATTATGCGAGGCGGCCCGGCCTGGGGGTGCCGTGTGTCGGGAGGGGATCTCCCGAGCTGCGGTCCGCCTGCCCCGGACTGTGGGAAGCGTGCAGACCCGGGCAGCGAGAGCCTCGCGGCTGTGCGCCAGGCGGACGGCAGGGTGCTGAACGGACAGCTCCCGGGCTCCGGCCGCGGCTGGAGAGGCGGCCCGGCCTGCGCCTTTGCTCACTGCTCCGTCTCCCTTTACCAGCTCCACGTCCCTTCCGCCTCCGGGTGTCTCTCCCTCTGCCTTGCTCCTCTCCCTTCCTGCAGTCTCCTCTCACCCCATCAGTATCTCCTCGCCCCATCTCTCTGCCAAGCCTGCCCACTCTCCCTCCTGTCTCTCTCCTCCACCCCGTGTCTGCCTCTGCCTCTCCCCTACCCACCCCCTTGTCTTTTTCTTCCCCCAGCCCTCCATCTCTTCCCTTTCTGCTCGGCCTCGTTTTGGCTCTCGCTGTTTGACCTTCACTCGTCCTTGCTCAGCTGCAGTTTCCACAGAAACCTCCAGCGGGGCGGAGGAGGGCGGGGACAGGGGGCAGACCCACCCTTCTCTCTGCTCGAGCGGCCCTTCACCTCCCCGCCTCCACTGGGATTCCTGGCTTCCCCTCTGGGGGTCTGGGGGAGGCCCGTACCCAGCGGAGACGCAGGGTCACAACACCGGAGAAGGCCTCACACACGCTCACGATCACAAAGTCGCCGAATCACTGGCCCCAGCACACGCTCCGCAGCATAGATGCCACCCCGGGCTTCGACACAGCGAACGGCTCCCTGGCCCTCCCCCCCAACCCCATCTGGTTTTGCTGTCTCTGCTCCCCCAGTCTCCGCCTCTCCAGATCCCTGCATCTCTCCATCTGTCTCGGGGTCTCTGTCGCAGCCTCCCTGTCCCGAGAGAAGGTCAGTGGAGCGGGGCCAGCTGCTGGGACCCGGGCTGACCCGATGGCTGCAGGCAGGGTCGAGGGCGGAGACAGCCAAGTGCCCGTCGAGGCTGCGTTCCAGGCAGGCTCGAAGGGGCCCAGGCCTGTAATGTCCTCCCACCCGCCAGGAAACGAGACCCAGGGCCCCCGGTTTTGGGGTTTTTGTTCTTTTTTTTATTCCAACAGGGACTGAGATGTGGCAGGGGGAGGGGTGGGGGCCCAACTGACCCCTTCCTGGGGGGTTCTCATAGAAATTCCGAGGTTTCTCCCCCCAAAAAAAGAGAGAAAGAGAAGAGCGGTGGGGTGCCAAGGGACACCCATCTGTCCAGAGGTCCTCCCCACCTCCAGCAGTGTGAAGGCCCGCGTCAGGTCTTGGGGCGCCTGAGCAGTTCCTGGGTGCGGGCCTCCCCGGTTTCGGGAGCAGCCCCTGCAGTCCCGCGCCCTGGAGTCCTCGGCTCCTGTGCTCTTTTCGCCCGCCGCGGGGGCGGAGTGCGGGCGCTCGCGGGGCCCTCTCGTGAGTCCACTAGGGGGCGCAGGCCAGCTCCGGAGCCGGGCCTTGGACTTCACAGGGAACCGAAGGCAAAATCGCGGCGTCCGGGGCGCCGGCCCCAAGTCCTGCGGCGGGCCCAGTCCCTGCGGTCAGTCCGGGCGCCTGCCCGGCCCCGCCCGTGGTCAGTCGTGCTCGGCCAGCTC